TCTTGAACTCCTAACCTCGTGATTCGGCCTCCCAAAGTGCTGGGATTAGAGGCATGAGGAACTACGCCCAGCTTTTTTTTTTTTTTTTTTTTTTTTTTAGATGGAGTTTTGCTCTTACTGCCCAGGCTGGAGTGCAATGGTCATCATCTCAGCTCACTGCTATCTCTGTCTCCCAGGTTTAAGCGATTCTCCTGCCTCAGCCTCCTGAGTAGCTGAGATTACAGGCACACGCCACCACGCCCAGCTAATTTTTATATTTTTCATAGAGACGGGGTTTCCCCATGTTGGAAAGGCTGGTTTTAAATCCTAACCTCAGGTGATCCACCCGCCTCAGCCTCCCTAAGTGTTGGAATTACAGGTGTGAGCCACTATACCTGACCTCATTTTTTTTTTTTTTTATGAGATTGGGTCTCACTATGTTGACTAGGCTGATATCAAACTCCTGGAATCCAGCTATCCTCCCACCTTAGCCTCCTGAGAACACCTGCAAATTCAATCCAATGCTATAGTGGTTCTTAAGCATTTTGGTCTTAGAACCCCTTTGTACCTTAAAACTAAGGGCACTTAGCTCTTATTTATGTGGGATATATGAACTGATATTTACTGTATTCGAAATTAAAACTCAGAAATTTTTAACATTTTCTTAGGAGAAACCAGTAAAGAAAAAAATTTTAAGAATATAATCATATAAAAGCACACATGCCATTAAGCCAATGGAGTGATGACATCACCTAAGGCACATGACCTCTGGAAAACTCCACTGTACACTTATGAGAGGATGAGTGTCATGTCTTAGCACGATTATGAAAATAATTTTGAACAGGGTTAAAGGATCCCAGGGACTCTCCAGGACCCCCAGAACACTCTTGAGAACCACCAAAATGCCACATTCTGTCAGTTTTACCTCTAAATGTCTCAAGTTCACCTGCTCCTTCCTCTCTCCACTTCACTAGCCTACTCCAAGTCCCAGTTTTCTTTACCTGGACCACTGCATTAGTCTAATGTGGTTCCACTAGATTCATTCTTGACCCCTCCAATCTGTTCTCCACACTGTAGCCAGATCAATCTTTTCGAAATATAAATCTGAATATGTAACACCACCCACTCCTCTTCATTTAAAAACTCTAAAGTAGCTTCTCACTACTTTCCATGCAATGATCAGAATCTTAATCAGGGTCCAAAAGACTCTACCTCTCTCTCCAGCTTCATCCTGCCCTCCCATTCCCCTCACTCCCAGCTCTCCAGCTCTCTGGACTTCTTTCCATTTCCCAGACATACTACACTTTCTCTTCCTATCAGGCCTCTGCTCTTACAACATCCCCTACCTGGAACCCTCTTCCTTGTATCCCCTTTGCCTAACTCCCAAATCCCATTCATGCCTAAGGCTTTCCTGGCCCCAGGATCAGGATCAGGTCCCATCCCTTAGTTATAGCCCACCATTTCTTTATTTTTCCTTTTTTTTTTTTCCTGAAACAGAGTCTCACTCACTCTGTCACCTAGGCTGGAGTACAGTGGTGCAATCTCCGCTCACTGCAGCCTCAATCTCCCAGGCTCAAGTGATCTTCCTGCCTCAGCCCCCTGAGTAGCTGGGACTAGAGGCACTCACTACCATCCCCAGCTAATTTTTGTATTTTTAGTAGTGACATGGTTTCACCGTGTTGACCAGGCTGGTTTAGAACTCCTGGCCTTATGCAATCTACCCACTGCGGCCTCCCAGAGTGCTGGGGTTACAGGTGTGAGTCACCATGCCAAGCCCATTTCTTTCTTAGTTATAGCCCACTCACAGCATCACACAGCTTTCAGTCACAGTTTGTAATTACACACTAATCACATCATAGCAAGTAAATGTCCATCTTTCATGGATTGTAAATGCCACAGGGACAGGGCCTGTGTCTTTTGCTTCCCTTATTTCTGGCACAAAATACATACTTTGGTAATTTTTTTTTTTTTTTGAGACAGGGTCTCGTTCTGTTGCCCAGGCTGGGGTACAATGGCACATTCATGGCTCAGTGCAACCTCTTCTTCCCAGGCTCAAGTGATCCTCTCACCTCAGCCTCCCAAGTACCTGGGACTACAAGCATGCACCATGCACCACCATGCTTGGCTAATTTTTGTATTTTTTGTAGAGACAGGGTTTTGCCATGTTGCCCAGGCTAGTCTCAAACTCCTGAGCTCAAGCAATCCACTCACTGTGGCCTCCCAAATTGCTAGGATTATAGGCATGAGCCACCATGCCCAGCTGGTAATTGCTTTTTGAATGAATGAACAAAAATATAGTATGATGGAAGAGAAGTAAGACAACGTGATTGGTCGGGGCGCGGTGGCTCACGTCTGTAATCCCAACACTTTGGGAGGCCAAGAGGGGCGGATCATCTGAGGTCAGGAGTTTGAGACCAGCCTGGCCAACATGGTGAAACCCCATCTCTACTAAAAATTAAAAAATTAGCTGGGAGTGGTGGCGCACACCTGTAATAGGCTGAAGCAGAAGACTTGCTTGAGCAAATGAGGCAGAGGCTGTCTGAGCCAAGACAGTGTCAATGCACTCCAGCCTGGGTAATAGAGTGAGACTCTGTCTCAAAAAAAAAAAAGAAGACAACATGATAAATATTATAATGGTGATGGGTATAAGGGGCAAATATTTTCAATGGCTTCCCATTGCCTACCAAAAAAGCCTGAGTGCAGCTGAGAGTCCCTTAGTTTTATCCAGGCATCCTTTCTCAGCCTTCTTTATTCCTCTTCCAAACATATCAGCCAGTCTGGATCTGAAGGATTAGTGAGTTCCCCAAAGACACAGTCTAAAAGCCCTCTCTCCCCTTGTCCCCTATGGAAATCCTCCACAATCTTTCAAGGTCCAGCTGGAACAGCTCCCCTCAGAATGCATTTTCCAGATCATTCCACTTAGAAATCATCTCTCCCATTTCTTAGCTCTGTGGAAAGGCTCACAGGCCCAGCTCATTCTCTTGCCACATCTACCTCACCCACACACACTCCAAAGCCCCTGGGGTTCTTGGAAACCACCAAGTTATTTTGTGATCATGCCTGGCAGGTGTTCCTAACTATGCCTGAGATATCCATCCCTACATGATGCTGAGTAAATCTTGGAGTGCCAGCTCTGATGTTGCCTTTTCTGTGAAAGCCCTTCTCTTCCAGATGGAACTGGCTATTGCCTCCTCTCTGCTCCAGCCACCCTTGCTCTGCTACATGCTTCATTGCAGCATTCATCTCAGCCTAATGGCTGGTACTTAATGCTTGCTGAATGAAGGAAGCCAGGATCTAGGTATGCTAAGGGGCTGTGTTGCCCATTTTCCAGATAAACAGGAACTATTTCACAGAAATTTCATTCCTCAGCACTCTCAGCCAGGGAAATAATTTCCATAATATGGCTCCCAATAACATGGAGAAAGGGTCCAGTGACTGAACATTTAGCCCCTGCCTCCATGCACATATCATAGGCTCTTGCTTGAGGGCAGGAGACCCAGTAACTGCCCCATCAATTCTTACTGATTACAAGGAACCATGCTGCCCACCTCCTCAATCCCTATAAGGACTCTGGAACAGAGGCCAAACTTGCAGAGCTTCCAGGCTCTGAGGCACCCAGATTCCAGGGCCAGAGACGCTCTGGCGAGGCTCTCCTTGCTAGGGTACTTATTCTCCCTCTTCAATCAACACAACCCCCAATTATCTACAGAAATCTGAAATTCATATACAGACTTTCGGCCTGGCAATACTTACTACCAGTACTTGCTGGGGTTCCAGAAGTTACTCAGTAAGGCAAAGTCAGTTCCCCCGTGACATATTTTTCCTGCAACTCCCTCAGGAGGCATATTGCAGACAGACAAACTCAGCAATAGGATCAGTGCTTAGATCTCTCAAGCTTAGCTCAGGATCTTCAGAGGACAGTTCAATTTGATGCAATTCTACCTATATGGATAAGGGCAAAGCTGGCTTTCTAGCAGCAGCAGGGGTCTCCACAACATTAAGGCAGCAAGCTCAACACGATGTTTGATAAGGCCAGATTTCCCTTTTGATACAAGTTTAACATTCAAGAAATGGGCTTTCTCCCCAGCCTCTCAAAAGTGGGATCCACAGGAATCTTGAGTTAACTAGTAATAATGCACAGTCCTCATTGAGATTACTGTCCTGGGGAGGACTGGTAGCAGCCACAGAGCTTTCTGACTAGTTAGCAGATTGTATATACAGTCGGCCCTCCATATCTGCAGGTTCTGCATCTGTGGATTCAACCAACCACAGTTTGAGAATATGTGGGGAAATATTATAAAAAACAATACAATAACAAAAAAATACAAATAAAAATACAGCATAAGAACTATTTACATAGCATTTACATTATATTAGGTATTATAAATAGCCCAAAGATGATTTAAACTACAAGGGAGGATGTGGGCAGGTTATATGCAAATACTACGCTATTTTATTTCAGGGACTTGAGCATCCACAGATCTTGGAATCCACAGGGGTCCTGGAACCAATCCCCAGCAAATACAGAGAAATGACTGTACTATGTCAACAATCATCTTTCCTTCTCAGACAACTTAGGTTGACTCTCTCAAGAGTTTCATGTGTCAGCATCTTCCCTGAAGTATAAAGACTTCTCAGGAATCATAAGCAAGAGGTTTAAGGTTAAAATTCAAACTTAGACCTAATTCTGAACTTTACAAGTCTCCATTCTTCACAAGAATGGTCAAAAGTACACAGCTGGAAGTCTTCAAGCAGATGTTTGAGACGATCACTTTTTCAGGGATGTTTAAAAGGAATTTAATCACACTACTACACCATTGTATTTTAAGTTCCTTGAGAATCAGGATACCATCCCAGTTATTTCTTTGCCCTTCCTCTCTAAATAAAATAAAGGCATAGAGGATTACTCTAAACAGAGTAATAGTCAATAAATATTTGATGATTATTTAACAAATACTTGTTGCTTTTTAAAAAATGTGGGTAGATAAAAGAGAGGGAGAAAAAAGGGGTGAAATACTCACTGACGGAGAGGTGCCTGCTTCTGGGCTCAGGGGGCTGGTATATAGTATTTATATCCCCTGCGGACTGAGAAGCCTTGATCCGCACCTGTCTGGACACCCCAGAATGGGGGGAGGAACTGCTCTGTAAAAGAAGAGGAAAAAGGCCAAGCTAAATCTTTACAGTCAGGCCTATCAAGGCCTTCTCACCCTAAGAACTCCCTGCACACTCAGCCACCTTCATGCTTTTAATACATGAGCTACCCCCCAGCTTTCCCCCAAGTGTCACTCCTTTATTTGTCTCAGCAAATCACTATTTGCTCAATGTACTTTTACAGCTTCAATGATATATGAGTACTGAGACCTAGTACCCCAGTTTAACAGGTGATAATCCAGACATGGAAGAATAACAGGCATTCCTGTAATAATTTGCAAAACACAAAAGAGAGCTGTAAATACCCTCTCATAAAATTCTCCAGAGAGTTTAGGAAGAGTAGCAGAAAATTATTTCTGCAGAGGAGGGAGTCAGAATGGCAATTCTTGTTGCTATATATGTATTTATCTTATTGTCTGATTAATTGATACAGTCTTGCTATATTGCCCAGGCTGGACTCAAATTCCTGGGTTCAAGGGATCCTTCCACCTCAGCTGGGACTGTAAGTGCATGCTACCATGCCCACCTTATATATTTATGTTTAAAAGTAGCTCAATATGCTTCTTTTTCCCAATCATAATCAATCCCTGAAAATTAAGAAGATTCTAGGGTTTACACGTAAATCAGCTCGGGATCATGTTCAACTGGGAAAAGTGATCATAAGCACTACTGTGCCAGAAAGAGGTCAAGGGCCTCAGAGGAGGGTCAGCAATCCTCTCAGCACCCACCCACTCTTTCCACTGGGCCCAGTCCAGCTACCACAGAGAAAACTAAACAACAAAGGGGGAGCCTGTGCACTGAGAAAGCTTAAAACTAAACCCTGGAGGTAAGGAAGTGATGTCAGAATGTGATTACAAATAAACAGGGCACTGCGGAGAGTGGGGATGAGAGCTCAGGATTTAGAAACAAGCTGGTTCAGTTTCTACTTGCTCCTCTACCTCCCGCTAACACATAAAAAAAAGTCTGATCTAAACAAACTCTATATCCTGTCCTCCAGGAAAAAAGTTTCCCACTCTCAGGGGAGAGTTCAGCTGCCATGCAACCTCCCCTAGTCTCCCCATGACAGACTTTATCACATGCAGGTTGTCTTGACAAACTGTCTTGCTCTAACGGGAAGTCAGAACCAAGGGGAAGTGAATGTTCTTGCTGAAGTCTCCGATGTGCAATATCTCTCTGCTGAGGGTCAGAAAGGAAACAGTCAAAGCCACATACTGGGGAGGCAGGCAAGTGAAGGGCAAGGGAGGGCCACAGCCTTGTGCTCATAAAGAAGAGTTGCATGATGAGCACCTGCCACCTGCCTGAATGCAGGGCTTTACACATACATAGTGGGAATTTAATAAGTCTTGGCAACATGAATTTGAAATGTGTACCAAAGGACATACAATCTAAACCCCGAATTTAAAATCTAAAAGCTAGGCCAGGTGTGGTGGCTCATGCCTATAATCCCAGCACTTTGGGAGGCTGAGGCAGGCGGATCAGCTGAGAGCAGGAGTTTGGACCAGCCTGGCCAACATGGTGAAATCTTGTCTCTACCAAAAATACAAAAATTAGCCAGGTGTGATGGTGGGTGCCTGTAATCCCAGCTACTTGGGAGTCTGAGACAGGAGAACTGCTTGAATGCAGGAGGGGAAGGTTGCAGTGAGCCAAGATCGTGCCACTGCACTCCAGCCTAGGCCACAGAGCAAGACTCCATCACAAAAAATATATATAAAATAAAATAAAATAAATTTAAAAATCTAAAAGCTAAGTCAGTAATTTCAACAGCCAGCACAAGCATAGATTTGTAAAAGAAAAGGTTGAGGTTATAGCAACAGGTGGGAAAGCAAGTGAAGAGAATCAGTGAAGGTCTCAAAGCAGAGCTTCTCACACTTTAATGTACATATGAATCACCTGCAATCTTGTTAAAGTGCAGATTCGAATTCAGTAGGTCTGGGGTGGAGTTCAGAGCCTGCATTTCTTTTTTTTTTTTTTTCCCCCATTTCCATTACATTTTTATTTTTAATAAATTGGTTATTTAGAAATAGAGTGCTTAATTTTCATGTGTTGGGGCATTTTCTTATTATCTTTTATAAGTTGATATTTAGCTACATTTCACTGTATTAGAAAAATTACATATATATTTGAAATTTGTTGATTTTGCTTTACCACACAACTTTTTTCAGTTATATTCTATATATATGCCATAAAAAGTTGTCTTTCATAGTTGCCAGACATAGTGTTTCATTAGGCAGTTAGACAAAATAATCTGCACCAAATGCTCATGATAGTCAGTTTACCCATATAACAAATCTGCACATACACCCCTAAAACTTAAAAAAAAAAGTTAAAAGCAAAGAAACACAGAAAAAAGACATATAGACTAATGTAACAGAATAGAAAACTCAGAAATAAAGCCTCACACATACAATCATCTGATCTTAAATAAGACAGTGAAAGCAAGCAATAGTGTAAGAACTCTACTCAATAAATGGTTCTGGAGTAACTGGCTAGTCATCCGTCAAAGAATGAAACTAAACACTTACCTTTTATCATATACAAACAATAACTCAAGCTGAATTAAAATGCAAATGAAAAGACCTCAAACAATAAAAATCCTAGAAGAAAATATTGAAAATGCCCTTCTCAACATTGGCCTTGGCAAATAATTTTTGGCTAAGTCCCCAAAAGCAATTGCAATAAAAACAAAGACTGAAAAGTGGCACCTAATTAAACTAAAAAGCCTCTCCACAACAAAACAAACTATCAGTAAACAGACAACCACAGAATGGGATAAAATAGTCATAAATAGAGGCCTAATATCCAGAATCTACAGAGAACTCAAACAAATCAATAAGCTAAAAATCAATAACTCCTTTAAAAATGGGCAAAGGACATAAACGGACTTCTCAAAACACATACGAGTGGCCAAAACAACATGAAAAAATGTTCTACATCACTAATCATTAGATAAATGCAAAACAAAACCACAATGAGATACCATCTCACACAAGTTAGAATGACCATTATCAAAAAGCAAAAAAAAAAAAAAAACCAACAAAAACAGATGTTGGTAAAGCTGTAGAGAAAAAGGAATGCTTTTACATTGTGGGAATGTAAATTAGCTGAGTCACTGTGGACAGCAGTTGGAAGTTTTTCAATGAGCTTAAGACAGAATTACCATTCAACCCTGCATTTCTAACCAGCTTCCAGGTGATGCTGTTATACGGGCCACACTTTGAGTAGCCAGGTCTTAGGAGTGAGTCATGCTTCCATTGCAGATAATGGTTCTCAACGCTAGCTGCCCATTATAATTGCCTGTGGAACTTTTGACACCTCAGATCAACAGAACCTCTGGATATGGAGTCCAAGCATTAATATTTTGTAATATTCAAATTCTGAAAACCTCAATTTAAGGGGCAAAAGAGAATGGTATGGTAAATAAAAATGAGGTTGCTGCAAGGATTTAGGACACCTTGAATAAGACTCAGAGGTAGGAAACAGAGGAAGGAGGAAGGTAGGGCTATGCCTGAGAATATAAGGGGACTGTCGTAGAGCAACAGGAGAGCCCCCAGGTATGAACTGTGTAGCTAGCAGAACATTCTAAAAACAACAAATAGAAGATGGCATTTGACCATTCCATGAACACCTCACTAAAGGATTCTGGGTAGAAGTGTGGCATGCAAACACAAAAAATTGCCAGGAAACCATGAGCACCGAGACTTAAGTGACTGGAAGATAGGAGATCAGCGGAAAAAAGAGTTAAAAAAGCCCACCCACAAATTATCTCAATAAAAGGTTTAGCGATATGACACAAAAGGAACAAGTGGATTCAACAATGCAGGGAGGGGGTAAAGTGGGGAGAGAGGTTGCTTTAGTCTGTTACGTGGGAATGTAAGGTAAGAAATGGCATACTTGTTCACCAAGCACATTCTATCCAGTCCTCTGTTTTAATGGTGGTACCAAGAGATATAGGCATGGAAGACCGTGATAGTTATGATAGCTGCGGAAGCATCTGAGGTGATTTAATTAAATTTACAGCTTTACCATCCGTGAATTTATTAAAGCCACTTTTTAAAAAATCTGCTTTGAAACTGTACAATTTCAGAATAACAGATGCCACATAAATCACCTTTTTTCTTTTTGTGACAGGGTCTTGCTCAGTCATCCAGGTTGGAGTGCAGTGGTGCAACCGTAGCTCACTGCAGCCTGGAATTCCTGAGCTCAATCAATTCTCCTGCCTCAGCCTCCCAAGTATATGGAATGACAGGCATTTGCTACCACAACTGATTTTAAAACTTTTGTAGAGATGAGCTCTTGCTATGTTACCCAAGTTGGTTTATCACTTGTTATACAAATTATTTTCTTTTTGTTATAAGAAAATGCTCAATATTCAAGGAGTTCATCCAAATTGATACTAGGTGAATAAATCTGTTATCCATGCTCTTCATTATCCATGCTCTTAAATGCTTTAAAGAATCTGATTATATATATGCTTAGGCTGTATTTCCCAAGTAAAGAGTTCTAAACTTTTACAATATTCATATATGAAAGTGACTCCAACTCCTTGAAAATTTTGTCTTCTGAATGTTTTCTAGTTCAGTTATCTTCGAAGCTGTGGGGAATAGAATGATACATCTCTCAAGTTCTCCTCATGGACAATATTAGTTTCTGCTAGGCTTCTAATAATTTCCAACTGTAGAGGAATGTGGGTGAGGTTCCCAAGTACCACAATAATTCTAAGAGCCCTCTTCTGGGGCCAGGTGTGGTGGCTCATGACTAATCCCAGCACTTTGGGAGGCTGAGGCGGTCAGATCATTTGAGGTCAGGAGTTTGAGACCAGCCCGGCCAACATGGCAAAACTCCATCTCTGCCAAAAATATAAAAATTAGCCAGGCATGGTGGCATGTATCCGCCATCCCAGCTACTTGGGAGGCTGAAGCAGGAGAATCGCTTGAACCCAGGGGGCAGAGTTTGCAGTGAGCCAAGACTGTACCACTGCACTCCAGCCTGGG